CAGGGTTACTCACGGAGCGTTTTTTTTCCACGGAGCGGAGCGGAGCGGAGTGGTTTAAACCGCTCCGCACCGCGCCGCGAGGGTTTCCCTTGAGAAAAAACCGCTCCGCTCCGTGAGAAATCTGCGCTCGGATAAACCGCTCCGTGGGGCTTCCCAGCAATCCGTACAAGCGGTTTTTTCACGGAGCGGTTTGCCCTACTCCGTCACACAAGCACGGATAAAACCGCAATACAGCCGCGGTTTTACCACGGAGTAACGTTTTTTTTCCTACGGAGTCACGATATTTTTTCATTTTTTTCTGTTCTACTTTCACAGCAGCCACACAGACACACACTCCGTGCACATCAGTTCGTGTGCACGTCTGCCTATCTCTGATGGAGTCGACATCCGACCCTGGCGACCGCCCTTCTGGCGACCGCTCTCCTGGTGGTGCTGGTGCTGGTGCTGGTGCTAGTGCTGGTGCCGGAGGTTCTGCTGATGCTGCTGCTGCATCAGCAGCGGCGCAACCTGGGGAATCCCTCCTGAGCACGGTGCGTGGCGTCAAACGCACCGTCATCAACGTTGCAGAGACCGTACCACACGGGAATTTGTGGGGAGTTTGGACGTTTTTCCAGAAGCTCAACAAGCCGTTGGACAACGGGAAGAACACGCGATGCATCGTTGCCGATGAAGACGGCAAGGAATGCGGCCGGATGTACAAGCACGTGGCCAAGAACGGCAAGCGCCCGCTGCTAGAAGACCATCTGCGGACGAAGCATGTTCCACAGTACGAGTTGGCGATGAAAGCGAGCAACAGATCTGCAAAAGCGAAGCAGGAGAGAGGCAAAGCATACGCTACGGCTGCTGCTGCTCGTGGCCAATGGGCCCCATCTTGTCCATGCTTGCTCGCGTGTACCTTTGCATTGACAGCACTAGTTGCCAATCAGAGAGGGACTTTTCGGGGCTGGGATTCGTGTACAACAACCTTCGGCAGGCGATGATGCCCGACTGCGTCGAGATGGTGATGTTCCTCCGGTCTAACCCCCATCTTATTCCCGAGATCATGAAGTTGGACAATGAGTTGGGGAAGCTGCTTGCAGCGCAGTCTGTTGGGAAGGCTAAAGCTGCATCTGTCCAAGCCGCTTGTGCGGGAAAGCAGGTGGTTGTCGAGGTCGAATCTGACTGAGCGACATAGCGGCGTATGTTTTTGGATGAATACACAAGACGCCTGGTGTTACCCATGTGCTAGTACTGGCAAGTTTCAACGAGAGGCAAATGAGGAATTAGCTGCTGTTGTACGTGTTGCAGGAACGTATGAGTCGGGAGGTATTAGTACTGGCAAGTTTCAACGAGAGGCAAGTGAGGATTTGTCTGCTGTTGCAGTACGTGTTGCAGGAACGTAGGAGTCGAGGAGGTATCGATGTGGGGAACGGTTCCTTTCTGAATAATAATTGATTAGTTGACAGCTTTTTGGTCTGTTTGGGCTGTCCTAGCGACGAGGACGCATACGGTGTCACCGGCGGCCTCCAAACACAGCACACCGTGTGGAAAAGTCGGTTTTCGGTGTACGAAACCCGACGTTTTTGAAGAAATTGCAGGTACTCCGTCGATTTTGTACGGATATCCGTGCGGTTTTGACGTTTTTTTCTGACGGATAACCGTCCTCAAGGACACGGTTTTGCTCGGTTTATGCTACGGAGTATACAAAACCGCTCCGTGAAAATAACCGCACTACGGATTAACCGCTCCACACCGCTCCGTGACATCAGAAAAAAAAACGCTCCGCT